GAGAGAGAGAGAGAGAGAGAGAGAGAGAGAGAGGAGAGAGGAGGGAGGAGAGAGGAGAGACAGAGAGAGAGAAACATGAATACAGAGAGAGAGAGAGAGAGAGGGAGAGAGAGAGAGAGGAGAGAGGAGGGAGGAGAGGGGAGAGACAGAGAGAGAGAGAAACAGAGAGAGACAGAGAGAGAGAGAGAAAAGAAAAGACAGAGAGGGAAGGAGAGATATTTACATAACCAAACTTGTGGAGATTTTAAATCAGAGGCAGCTCAAACTGAGTGAAATTGAATGTAGCTTCCTATAGAAGGTAAACTTCTGGTTTTAGTTTTGTCTTTGTACTCCCCCGTGCCTAGCACAGTGTTTTACAAATGTTTGTTGGATTCAGTAGGAATTCATATATACAGGTAACTGAGAGGAAGAAGTATAGGATGGAGAGCATTTGCTTATAGTTAGAGATTGACTTTGTCACCCTCCCCCACCTCGTACTTTTTTCCTTGTAAGTAATGCAGTTCCTTTTCCCACTTCTTACTGGGAGCATAATCCCATTCAACTTCCACAGCTGCAATGTAGTAAACCTTGTTCTTATAATGTGTGTTGTCCTTAAAAGGCTTGTTGCATTGTTTCACTCGGTATTTATTTTTCATGCCACCTGTATAGTGGTCTGTTGCGAGACAAGCGACATCAAATTCCCCTAGGAAGGTAAAGAAGAGAGACATCATTTTGAAGGTTTTGTGATTGGTGAATTTATCAGACTCCCCTTTCCTATCTGAACGCATTCAAAAGGCATAAATAGAATATAAGTGCCAATAAAATGCAGACTCCTTGAAGGCAGAGTTTTTTGGTTTTTCCTTCATATCTCTAGCACCTGGTCCTGTGCCTTATTCATAGTAGGCACTTACTGGGTACTCATTGAATTGAATATATAAATATATATATATATATATATATATATATATATATATATATATATATAATAAGACAACAAGTCCTTTACATTAAACAAACCAACTAACCAAATCCTTCCTAAGGCTCTATGCCACACAACAGTAAATCCCACTGAAAGACAAGAGATCTTTGTCCTTTTCTTTTATTTTTTTTTCCCTCACTTAGGCTAAGGGGTTTATATACATTATGTATCTACACCACTTTTCAGTCTGTCCTTTAAGAGACCTTGTGTTCTCTTAATTCAACGAAAGTTTTAATTTTGATAGAAAGTGAAAAGATGTAGAGAAGTTAAAAGAGAGGGTTAGAAAGGAAATTTACATAGAATAGACTTTAGGAAAGAGAATAGAGAAAAGGGGCAGAGCTAGGTTAAGAAAGAGTGGAGGAAGTCTAGCCAGGAGCAGGGATTTTTACAGCTAGAAGTTTATGGAGACAAAAAAAACGAATTTTAATTTAGACAGTGTAGTCAGTACATTTAAAAGGAAGCAAAGGAAGGAAGATATGGATATCAGAGATGCACAATTATTTTTAGGAGGCTCTAGTGGTGCAAAAAAAAAAAAGAACAAAATCATGGATTTTGAGTTGGAAGAGATTTAGCTGTTCCCTTGTCATCCAACTTCTTCATTTTACAGCAGAGGAAAGTGAGGCCCTAAAAAGTTCAATGACTTGCTCAAAGTCACACAGATACCATGGGAGCATTTGAACTCATGTACAATAATTCCCTGGTTTTTTCCACTATGCTACACTGCCTTCCTAGATAAAGGTTTCTTCCTTTTTCTAGACTCCCACAATTTTATGTGATTTGGGGCTTTATCTGTATGATACCAAATGACCATCATAAGGGAAAAAATAAACAATCAGTAGAACTATTTGGCACCATGTGTGAACCCAGCTTTATATATATGTTTGCTGTTCAAATGAATAAAGCTATTATTGTTATCTTTTGTTATATCAGCTTTATTTCTGCATATATTCCTCTTCTTTCCTCTATCTCCACTCACTAGAGAACCATCCCTTGTGAGAAATAATAAAAAAGAAAGAAGGAAGCAATTTGGCAAAGCTAATACATAAACCAAGTGTGATAATATATGTACTGTTCCACAGCCATAACCTCCCCCCCATATCTGAAAAGAAGGGAAGGGGGTGCATTTTCTCCTCTTTACTTTGGGACCACACATGAAAATTATTACACATCACTTGCTATTTTTTTTCTTTTACAGAATTTAGACAAATGACTAATTTGTGCATATCTACCCACAATGACCTGCTATTGCCCATTCCCTAGTTGAAATTAACCTGGACCTCAGACCTCAGTTCTACTCTTAAGAGGTCAGGGAATAAGCGGTGCTATGTGTTTACAAGTAGGAAAGTGTTTTACAAAGGTGTAATGATAAGGATAATGATACCAGGAGGAAGGAGAATTGAAGCTCTAGTTACTTGGCGGTGTATTAGAAAGGTAAGATTTCATAAGTGGGCACAAACAACAACTTTGTGGTTTGGGGCATGCAGGAGATCTTTACTGACCCCAATTTATTGTTGGACTGTGTCTTGCCAAGGTGTGATAGGAAGATGAAGGAGCATATATGGGGAATAAGGGTTGGAAAGCAGAGGAAAACAATAGCTGGGGAATGAGGCAAAACCAGAAGGGACACAGAAGAAAGTAAAGAAATGATCATTTCGAATGTTTCAAAATTGTTTAATTTCAAAAAATATGGACTCATGGGAGGACACGGATGAAAACAGAGCGGAATGGGCAGGGTGTGGATCAGTAGTCATTGACACTGCTGAAAGCAGTGCCTTCATTGGATAAGATTCTAGATCTAGGTCTGGAAAAGATTTCAGAGGAAATCAAGTCCAACTCATTCATTTGAAGAAACTGAGGCACAGGGATAAAGTCATCTAGATAATGAGGTAAGATTTGAACCCAAACCCTCAGATTCCAAATCCAGTGCTCTTTTGAGTTTATGGACATGGAGACCACAAGAAGGAGAAGGAGTAGAAGAATCATAGGAGCCCCAGAAAATTGTGCCAGCCTATGCAAAATATTACACAAATTACCCCAGAGAGGCAGACTATCAGAACAACAGGATCATCTTCCGTAACACTATCTGTGTCCTTTTGATGTTGTTCACTGTAAAAACATCTCTTCTCAGTCACTACCTGTGAGACTTTGAGCAAGTCACTGAACCTTTCAGGGTCATATTTTCCTTCTCGGTAAAACGAGGGAGTTGGATGATAAGAGGGCTGCTAAAGTTTCTTCCAACTCGAAGTCTATGACCTTACTCTTTTTTCTTTTTCTTCTTCTGCTTCTTTTTGGCACCACTGGAGCCTCCTGAACATAATTGTGCATCCTGGATATCCATCCAATATGTCTCCCCTCCCTTGCTTCCTATTTGCTCTACTGCACAGCCTGCACCATCCAAACTAAAATTTCTTTCTTTTGTCTCCATAACCTTCTGGCTGTAAGAACTTTTGGCCCTGTACAGAGTACCTCCTACTGACTACCCAAGAAGAATTACAGAGTAAAAATTAAATATTCACCTGAGGAATCTGCTGTCATAAAAAGAGTCCAGGAAGTTTGTGGAATCACATTTACAGTGTCTTTCCTCCCTCCTAAAGAGACATAAGTGTTTCCTGAAAAATATATCCCATGCATATCTTCCTCTGTCCCCACACTGAGGACATGCCATGAAATCTTGTCACCTAGGCACATATCAAGTCCTGGTAGATTTCCGAACATGTATCCATTTATGGCTGGAAGAGTTATGGGAAAGGAAAGGGTGTTGATTATTATTTTCACGAATACTTCAAAATATCAAAGGACCAAGATTTCCTTGGGATGAGTCATCTCTCCACGAACACATATCACATACCCCCTACAACTCAGTAGCAATCTTATGACAGTCACCATGGCCGAAAATTTTATCCTATTATCTTGGGGTTCTTATATGTGTTGCAAGTGAGTGAATTTGATTCTACTTCATAGATTTAGAACCTAAAGAGATCTTATGGACTTTCTAGTCTAATTCGCTCGTTTACCTATGAGGATGATATTAAGTGAAAGATGTGGGCTTTCGGTCCAGGCTTTCTGACTCCAGAGCTAGAACTTTTTTTCTTGTAGTATCAGGTCTTGAGGTGACAAATACTTTATCACTGGATCTGTACTGTTAACCCATTTTGATATCCTTTTGAACCTCTCAGGTTCATCTCCATGAAGAGGCCAAAGTAATCTTGCCAAGAGATTATCACTTCTAAGTATTTTCACTTGCAAATCTTAAATGATGAAAAACCATACTCTTCTTCTTATCACCCCTTTCCCTTGAGGGCTTATAATGGCATGATACTTTTACATAACCTATTAGGCCCTAATCAATTAAGTTTTTCCCTCCCTTTGGGGGCAGGCAAAGTTATAACAAGTTCCTCAGAAATCTAATTTCTCATCTTTTTTTTTTTTTTTTTTTTTTTGGTTAGGCAATGGGGTTAAGTGACTTGCCCAGGGTCACATAGCTAGTAAGTGTTATGTGTCTCAGGCCAGATTTGAACTCAGGTCCTCCTGAATCCAGGGCCGGTGCTCTATCTACTATGCCACTTAGCTGCCCCCAAAAGGTCCATTTATTTTTGCAAGGCAATTGGGGTTAAGTGACTTGCCCGGGGTCACACAGCTAGTGTGAAGTATCTGGTCTGAGATCAGATTTGAACTCTGGTCCTCTTGACTTCAGGGCCAGTGCTCTATCCACTGTGCCACCTAGCTGCCCTTGCTCATCTTTAATAAAGCAAACAAAGTAGTATTTATCGGGGATCAGAGTTGGGAAAATCCAAAACCAGAATTATCTGCCATGAAATTTTGCCCCACAAGTCACTAGAAAAATTAAAGATCAGCCAAGGCTTCTGACTTTTTCTTGTATTTTAACCACCAATCTCCACTCCCTTTCTCTGGCTTCCATATTTTTTAAACTTTTTGAAAATTTTAAATTTTACATTTTTAAACTGAATTGAATTCAAATTAAATTGAATTTAAATTGAAAATTTTTAAATTTTAAAATAAATTTTAAATTATTGCAAATAATAGCATAGTTAGTAGTAAATAACCCAGAATTCAAGTCTCTAACTGACTTGAACTTTCACTACTTCAGGATATCCAAAACTTTCTAAAGTCTCAAACTATAGGCAATTGAAAGGAATCTCAAAACATCTGGTCCAGTCTTCCTCCTACATGCAGGTGAATACATACCTCAGACATGGTCATCTATTCTCTTAATAAATTCCCCTAATAAATGATTCCCACACCTTTTTTATCCTTATGCTCAGAAACTCTGTTTACGAGTGATTTCTTTTTTTCTTTTATTTTTTGAGCCAATTATTTTTTCAAGAAATCTAGTCAGTTGTATTTTCAATCTTCTTTCCTCATCCTAATTGAAAAGATGAAAAAAGACGTACCTCAATGTCCCCAACACGACTCAAGTCAATATTATTATTGGGAAAATTGTATTAAAATAAAGTGGGGTGGATTGGGGGAAATCATCATTCCCTTGCTTGAGAAACTTCAGTGACATTCTATTATTCCTATAACACATCTCAAATATCTGTTTGGCATTTAAAGTCCTACACAATCTAACTGCAGCCTGTCTTTCCAAGTTTATTACATATTGCCACACAGTATTACATGAGCCTGAGAACCCTCTTCACCTACTGTATATTCCAGCCCAATTACCGTTCTTAAACTTCTCTAAACTTGAAACTCCTCTTTGACCTATCCCTTTGCCTCTGCTGTCCCCCAATGCCTAACATGCATTCACTTCTCATCTCTGCGTCTTAGAATTCCCAGTTTTCTTCAAGGCTCAGATTATGTGCTGTCTCCCAAGACAAGTCTTTTCCCAACCCACTTTGTTGTTGATGTTTTCTTCATCTCCCTGTAATTATCATTCCTGTTTATATGTTGTATACTCCAAGCAGAACATTACTTCCTTTTGTACGGGAACCATTTTGTCTTTGTTTGGGTACCCCCAGAGAGATGGCATGGTATAGGGGACAGAGTGCTATCCTGAAAGCCATCTCTAGGCAAGTGGTTCAGCCTTCCAATGCCTCAGACAACTCTGCAACGCTATACAGAGAAAATACTGACTTTGCTTAGTGGAGAGAGTGTCCTCACTTTGAATTTCTCCATACCATTGAAACCTCAGGTCCATCCCTAACCCCCAGTGCCTGGTTCATTCCATAGTAGGTGCCCATAAAACGTCACTGGATTAAATTGGATTGTTAAAGTGTCTCTAACCCAATCCCTGAAAACCTTGAAATGTAGACTGCAGAGAGAATGACATTCACTACTTTATTCAATTATCTGATGAAATAAAATTCTCCCTTACAGGACATTTTGTTAGATGCTTGGAAGTCTGGATCATCCTTATTCACTTGGCGGGGGTTTCCTGCAAATTTTCTAATATTTTCATCCAAGTACAGGCTTAGGTTCTCATCATATATTGTAGGTAGCAGGTAGAATTCCCTGTCTACACCTTTCTGTGGATGAAATAAGAAAAGTTAACATGAGACAAGGAGGATCTTTCCCATGTACCCATTGGGTCTTCATGTGAACAAATCAAAGGATGGAATAATCTTGAAAAAAGGACTTTAAGATCCATGATAAATTTGACTGCCTATATTCTCACTGTTATAGGCATTGAATGAAAAAATGAACAGAGAAGATCTCAGAGCTAAAATTTGAAAGAGGTTTTATTATAGAATTAAGATTGGAAGGGTATCTCCTTGAAGGAAGTGATCCTTGACTTCTAAAGGCAAAGATTCTGCTGGCTCCCTGGAGGGACTTTTTCAAGATTTAATCACCATGAATGAGCCTCATGGAGGCTCTACTTCTATTTAAATTGGTTGACTTCATTGGGAATTTATTTCTACTTCCTATGAACACTGATGGAAAGGGAGTTCAAATGGAGTGCAAATGATCCATGCAGGGAATTCCTGGGGTCTGAACACCTTCCAATAATGCAAATAGCAACTCTTCTATGACTTAATAGATAAATTTTAGGGAGTTGGCTGAAGGATGTGGAGGTTAATAATATCTAAAGAAGATAATCTCCAAATTGCTATTTGCATTACATAATGAGAAAAAAATCATATAAAGTTTCATTAATCCAAAATGCAAGATGTCTAGAAAACAACAAAACCCCCACAGATTTTTCAGAGTGATGGTACCCTATCTGCTCAACTTGCTTTCCATAGTACCTCTCATGGCACCATGCACAAATGGGACAAAAATACAAGTTTTTGATGATGAAAGTCATGGTTAGAGTCAGAAAGACCTGGATTCAAATTCTGCTTCTTACACTTACTAGTTGTGTGTGACCTTGGGCAAGTCACTTAGCCTTTGCTTGCCTCAGTTTCCTCAACTGTAAAATGAGAATAATAACACCTACCTCCCAGGGTTATTGTGAGGATAAAATGAGATAGTATTTGTAAAGTGCTTAGCACTTTACATCCTCTTTGTAATATTTGTAAAATGCTTAGCACAATACAAATTATTTCTTCAATACTTCAAAACAATTTCTCCAATCTCTACAATAATTTTGTAATATTTAAATCCTCTTTGTAAATTCTGTAATATTTATAAAGTGCTTAGCACAATGCCTAGCACACAGTAGGCATTATATATATATATATATATATATATATATATATGTTAGCTATTATTTTTAAAAAGTGCTCAGACCATCTGCTCACTTCTGTCTTGGCTACTCTCCTGAATCTCCAGATAGATCAATAGACAGGCAGACAGACAGACAGACAAAGAGGTAGAATGGGACTGACAGACAGGAAGAAAAGAGAGAGACACACACACACACACACAGACCAGGGTCACACTGACATTTTGTATGAAAAACCAATTCTTCCTGATTCTCAGACCACCTCTCCATCCATTCTGCCACACTGCTCTTCTTTCTCAAATACTAATCTTTTAAAATATTTTACATTTTAACATTTTAAACTTTAAATAAAATAATTTCACCTTGAAATACTATATGTACTATGTAAAATGGGAATTTGAACATGCTCACATTTCAAGTAGTCCAAGAGCTCTGTGGCACTTGACAGAGCTCCTTTGGTCAGACCCCTAAGTCAGATAGGCTGAACATACAGGCCTTTCCATTTTTCTGTCCTTGTTACCTTACCAGTCTACCATCTGCATGAAGACTTCCTTTCCTACACACTAGAAGTGGCCCAGTCAGCCCACTGGTGACTTCTTTAACCATGTCCAAGGCAGAGTAGTATAGGCAGGTCAAGCAAACTGGATCGGCAGAAGTCGGACCCACAGTTTCTGGAACAGTCCATTCATAGGTAAAATTTTCCCCGGGTTGTATACTTGAAGAAGGTGGAGGTGTACCTAGGAAGAAACAAATAACTTAGGAGGCCAGGAGCTATGTCAGTAGGAGCAGCCAGGGATTTTTGAAGAATTGAATCTAACATTTTAGATGAAGGGAAATGAGGTCCAGAAAGTGTGACTTACCCAAGGTCATAGAGAGATTAAGTGGCAGAGCCAGGAATCAATCCAAGCTCTTCTCTCTCTCTCTCTCCTGGGCAGTGCTCTTTCCATTTTCCTACCCTGCCTGATCTACTGAACTGCTCAATTCAATTCAATAGACCTTTGTCAAGTGGCTGCTATGTATGCCACAGCTTACTCACTTCCACTGAGGGTCATGTAGCGTGATCCTTCATTGCTCTTGGAGAACCTCACGCAGTGAGGCTGAATGCTGACGGGATAGCTAGCTCTGTTGAGGATAGTGACCAAGATGGTGTCTCCCACTTCTGTTTTAATGACAGGGCCTAGAGGCAAGCAGAAAGTGAGTTCTTAATATACAATTCTTTTAAAATGTGAACAGAAAGGTTATGTTGCCTGACGATGACTGATTTTGTAGACAATTAATCAACAAGCACTTATTAAGATCTTCAACATGTCTGGCACTAGAGATACAAATTACTGTTTAGCTGTTTCACTCATGTCTCACTCTTTGTGACCCCATTTGGGGTTTTCCTGGCAGAGATACTGGAGTGGCTTGCCATTTCTTTCTCTAGCTCATTATACAGATGAGGAAACTGAGTCAAACAGGATTAGGTGACTTTCCATGGGTCACACAGCTTGTTAAGTGTCTGAGACAGGAATTGAACTCAGGTCTTCCCAACTCCAGACCTAGAGCTTTATCCACTGCACCACCTAACTACCTTGGGTCTGCAAGTACAGAGAATGAAATAATTCCAACTCACTGACATTCCAATGTGGGGAGACAAGGATAATGGCACTCTGATCCTGAAATGTGCTCAGGTACGAATGAATGAATGAATGAGCATTTGCTAAGTGCCAAGCACTGAAATAAGTGCTAAGGGATAAGATATACAGAGACAATCCCCTGCCTTCAAGGAGCTTACATTTTAGTAAGGAAAGACAAGGGTAGTCATGGTCAAGGAAGAGAGTTTTGGGCCATGGAGTTACAGAAATGGTGAGTGGATTTATGTAATGTTCCCTTTCCCAAAGTCATAGCATTGTTGATTTGATTACTATGCTCAGAGCAAGAGATGGAAAACAGGTGATTTGAGAGGATGAGAGAACCTCGGGATCCCAGGAGATTCGGTTAGTTTCATCAGAGGATATCAGAACCACACATAGAACCGGAGATCCAAATCTCGAAGGGACCTTAGAGTTCATCTAATCCAATGCTCACCATTTACAGAAAAGGAAACTGAGGCCCAGAGAAATGAAGTGACTAGCCCAAGGTCACAAAGCGAGTAAATGGAAGAAGCAGGACTGGGATCCAGGTCTTTTGACTGCAAATCTAGCGCTGTAACGTGCTATTTCTTTATTCATCTTAATATAATTCTTGAAATTTTAATAAATTTGCATTATTGGATGACACAGAGTTTCTTGTTACTGATCTTGATATGTGAATTTGCTGTGTCATTGTGACTATGTAGGATTTATATACATATATGTATATATATACACGCCTACATGTATATGTATCTATACATATGTGTGTATGTATAGCTATATCCATATTGATGTGTGTGTGTATATATGTTTATCTATATCGACATAAATCTTGTATGCATGCAAGAGTGTGCTGAAATCAGTTCAAACCAGCTCCTGAGGACCGCTTGTCAAGTTTTCAATTTGAGCATTTATGACTTGGAAATCAGCAATCACTACAAATCAAGGCTTGACTTACTATTTTGTTGACTGTAGGCATAAGAAAGTGATGGAGTATGTATTCATATGGCAGATTAAACTGAAAGTGTGTCATGCACACTTCAATTTTTTTCAATTTTGAGAAGCAGTATGGTCTGGTGGATAGAGAGCTGGTCTTGGAGTTAGGAATACATGAGTTCAAGACTTGCCTCTGACAAATTCTGGCTGTGTGACCCTGGGCAAGTCCCTTGACCACTCAGTGTTGTTGCTGAAAAGTTACCAATTTTTTTTTTTGACACAGGGATTTTCCTCAATAGACATTCCTGATATCAATGAAATTACAAGTTTGTACCACCCGCCCAAACCCTCAAAATCCCCCAATTTTACCCATAATTCCAAGATGTCTTTCTTCAGGAAGTCTTGCTTTCTTTGTTAGGAATGAATCATCTGTATATGCTCGGTATTGCAACTTCACATAAGTTCCTCCAATTCTGTTGGGACCTCGAATAAAATAAGGTGCTGATTCACTGTGTGAAGATAGTGGAAAATGACAATTTCAAACTGCAGAATCAGAAGAAGATTTAAGAAATGCAAATCTGTCCCAATTCCTTTCTGCAAATTTAGCCTTAGTTTGCAAATTATCTCAGATTTTAAAAAATGCCAAGTCTGTTTTTCCTAGATAATTAGCCAACTTTTATTTTTAATTTACTGTGTGCAGAGATGTTACTGTATGAGTTTTAAAAGATTTTCAGTCTCCTCATCTATAAAATGAGGGAGATGTATTAGGTTATCTCCAAGGGCTCTAAATGCTGTACCATTATCTGATTTTATACTCCAGGGCACTTTCGTAATCTGAAAATGAATGAATTAATGATGAATAAATGAAAATCCATTTGTTAAGCATTCATTATGTGCCAGGTGCTGTGCTAAGCGCTAGGAACATAAATAGAAAAATTGAAACAGACCCATCCCCTCTCAGGGAGCTCACATTCTAAGTAAGAGAGAGAAAATGGTAGATAGAAAGGCTTGGATGTCTTGAGCATGCCATAGCAGGGTGACTGGCAAGACCCAAGGATCCTTAGGTTACATTAATAGATTACATTATGGAGCCTGGGATTTGGAGGTCATAGAAAAAAAGAGGGAAGGGAAGGCTTGGTGGTGCTCTGTCTCATCAGATGTAATCAAGTTGGTAACTTTCATCTCATCCAAGCTCTATAGGTAACTGAGTTACCCAGCTGGGGTCTAGACAGTCATGGCTGAGGTGGTGAGGGATGTCAGGAAGAGGCTGCCCCCACAGGTGGAAATCATCAAAAATCATCAAAACCCATTAAAATACCTCTGGGTTGACAATATGAGGGATCTTAGGAACCTGGGAAGGGCAACTAGAAAGGACATCAGAGAGCATCTAGAGCAATCCTCTCATTGTATGGATGAGGAAAATGATCCTCAGAGAGGTGGAGTGATTAGGTCAGGGTCACAAAAGTAGTGTGGAATAAGTGCCTACGTTACTTTTATCCTATGCAATTTGGGCTTCTGGATGTGGAGCCAAGATGGCAGAGTAAGGAAGCACTCAGCTTGAGCTCTCTCAACATTTCCCTCCAAGTAACTTTAAAATAGTACCTCAAATCAAATTCTGGAATGGCAGAGCCAACAAAATTCAGAGTGAAATATTCTTCCAGCTCAAGACAATGTAGGAGGTCAGAAAGAGATCTGTGACGCAGAAGAGGAGACTAGTCCAGAGCTTCTATGGGTGAAACACCAGCGGTGGGACTGGTGGTGGCAACAGAAGCAGCAGCACCTTTGGGAGCTCTCAAGCCAGAGATGGTAAGGGGATCTGGCAGTTGGTCAGAAAGAGATTATAGGGTACCCCTGTGCTAGCACTGGAAATGGGACCAGATGCCATTTGGCAGCTCTATTGCCTATACCCACTTCTGGGTCAAATTCAAGGGCAGAGAGAATTACTTTTGGTTGAAGGAAGCCCTGAAGGGCAGTAACACTTTCAGCCCCAAGGGATCAGAGACCCTTGTTTCCTGTAGTGAGGAGGGGGCCTGAGGAGCAGTATTGACTGCAATACCAAGAGACTGGGGCCCTTCCTGGGTAAGGACCAGAGTACAGACCAATACCTCTCCCCCGATCACACCACCTTGGAAGCACTAAAAATTCCAACCCCCTCCCTCCCCCAACTGAATACAACAGTGCAGAAAAAGTCTGAAACTTGGGACAGACCCTTCCTCCCAGCCCTCCTCTCCTCCCCCCGCCGCCTCTTCAACATTAACATAAAGTTTTAAATCAAGAAATAAGGTGGAAAAATGAGCAAACAACAATAAAAAGGACTTGACTGTAAAAAGCTACTATGGTGACAGGGAAAATCAAGACACAAACTCAAAAGAAGAAAATGAACTCGAAACATCTACAATCAAAGCATCCAAGAAAAATTTGAATTGGACACAAGCCCAACAAGAATTCCTAAAAGAGCTAAAAAATGATTTTCAAAATCAAATTGAGTGGTAGAGAAAAAAACAGGTAAAGAAATGAAAGCAAAGGAAGATAATTTTGAAAAGACAATTAATTTGATAAAAGAGGCACAAAAATACTGAATAATATAACAAACACCTATCCTATGAAATTTTAAATTCAGAAGAATTAAGAATAACAGATGCTTATCTTAACCAATAAGAATTATAAGAAAAATCCACCAAAATGTGTAATTTCAGTAATGTGCATTTTATACTAACATTATAGGAGGGGGAGGGGAAAGACAGCTGAACCTCTCATTTGTATTATCATACTTGCTCATATTTCATAATTATATGTGATTATATCTTCTATTAAATTGAGATCGCTTGCTGAGTTTCACACTGTAAGCTCACATCTAAAAGCAAATCTGTGGCATATTTATCTTTGTATCTCCCAATTCCCTTACATGTGGCTTTATATGAAGTGGGTACTTAATAAATGTTAGTTGAATTAAATCAATTGTTCATATTTTAATGTGCTTAGCTCTTGAGTTTTGAGCCTAAGAACAAGAAATAATTGACATATTTAGTTGAGATGTTGAAATTGCATTGATATTGAAATAATTTATAGATTTAATGCTCTTTACTAAAGATAGGCTTAATATTCTTTACTAAATACTCATGCATTTTTAGTGTAAAGGAGAGAGAATTTGATTCCATCCTTCCAGCTCTGTTGACATAGTCACAGAATATAGCCATATATGAGGAGGTAATGAAGCATTAACTTTTATGGCTGCAAATACCTCTCTGATTGAGCCAGGGAAAGGAACAATGTGATTGATTGATCCAACAAATTAGCCTGTGCATGTGGCCTTTATATAGCTAAGCATTGAACAATCTGAGGGAGTTCCAAGTCAGGAATCAGTAGTAGTGAAGTGTAACTCCTACAGAGAGGTGGAAAGAAGAGGGAATTTCTCTCTCTTTCTCTCTCTCTCTCTCTCTCTCTCTCTCTCTCTCTCTTGTTCTGTCTCTGTCTCTCTCTTTTTCCACCCCCCCTGCCACCTCTACCGTTGGCGTGTTGAGCATAGTAATGACCTGCCTAAAAAAGACAACCCTTGAAGCAGTTTGAGGATTTCTCCAATTTGAGAAAGTTTGAGACATAATAGAGAAAACAAAGAAACACACTCCAGACAGATATGGGTACAGAATGGCAGTCACTCAAAAGAGGAAACAGCTTAGGAGAAGGAGACTCCTGGTGGTAGAAAAGAGGACCAAAAGCTGTTAGGAGTCAACCATGGGAAATGAACCAAACAATTTGTTTAGCAGAGACACCACACCCAAGGCAAACTGCATGAGGCTTCTATAAAGAGAGAAAGGACTTCTAGGGCTTGATAGTTAAGTAGTCGTGAATTACCTATTCCACAAATGCATATTGCCTCATTACCGTTATACTCTGTTCCCACTTCTCCAGCGTACTCTGTATTTTGGGGAGAGTACACTCTCAGTTTATGTTGCTAATATTTTGTAGCTAAAGTCTTTACTGGGGCAGCTAGGTGGTGTGTTGAACAGAGTGCCAGGCTTGGAGTTAGGAAGACTCATCTTTGTGAGTTCAAATCTGGCCCCAGAGAGTTGCTAGCTGTGTGACCCTGGACAAGGCATATAATCCTATTTGCCTCAATTCCTCATCTACAAAATGAGCTGGAGAAGGAAATGGCAAACAACTCCAGTATCTTTGTCAAGAAAACCCCAAATGGGGTCATGAAGAGTCAGACATGACTGAAATGACCGAGCAATAACAACATCTTTGCTATGTTGCCTTTGTAAATGCTTTTGATAAGAGCTAATTTTGACTATTGGCTGATTGTTAGTAGGAAATATGCTGGCGGGGGCTCATCCATGAGAATTACCCCAAGAACCTACGAATGTAGTAGCCTCCCTCTGTGGATTCAACCCTGTGAGTGTAAGTGCAAGTTGAGGAGGTAGTCCAGAGGGCATGATACATTAGAATGTTGACTTTTCCTAAGAATGCCATTGAGGCAGTGGACAAAGTCTAAGTTACTGTCATCTTGAAATTAATACGAGTACTTATAAGGCCAACTTCAACTTTCAGAAATTTGAAGCCACTAAATATCATTTTACTCTAGGTTGAGTTCAGAAACTAATTCAGCTTCACACACTTATTACCTGTGTGATCAAGGACAAGCCATTTTACCTTCTTCAGACTCAGTTTCCTTATCTGTAAAATGGGGATAATAATAGCACTTGCTTCCCAGGGTTGTTATGAGAATGAAATGAAATACTTATAAAATGCTTTGTGAATCATAAGGTATTATATAAATTCTAGATAATGGTGATGATGATTATAACAGAGAATCTAAAAGTTGGAAAGGAGTTCAGAGGCCATTTAGGACAACCCCTACTTGTTCAGGAATGCTTTCTATACCCACAATTGGTCATTCAGAGGTTTTGCTTCAAGATTTTTAGAGAGGAGACCCACCTCCCTTCTGTGGCGGCATGTTCTACTCTTGAATTACTTTAAATTGATAGGAAGTTTTTCCTTACATTGAGCCAAAATCTGCCCCTCTACCATTTCCACCTATAGCTCTCAATTCTGACCAATATTGACAAGACTGATTTCTGCTCCATATAGCAGCCCTTCGAATACACAAATATAAATTGCTATCACGTATACTTTAAGCTTACTGCCTTTTTACTCTAGAACTTAGAGTACTTACCTTTAGCTCTTGAGGTGTTGTCACCCTGGAACATCTCTCTGCCACGTTGGCCCTCCTGGTGAGTTTGTATGGGGTCTCCATTTTGGAAATAGATCCAGGCCAGCCATATTAATTTCCCTCCCGATTGAGCTTCTGCTCCTCTGGTCTTTGCTACCATGTTCCTGTGTGGGTACCTATTACTTTTCATCTCCCTTTTCTGTCTTGTCTTCTCCCACTAGAGTGTCAACTCTTTGAGAATAGGGGCTGCCTTTTTGTCTGTTTTTTGTTTGTGTTGTCTTTTGGCTTGTATTGGTATCCTCAGTATTTAGCACAGTGCCTGGCATGCAATAAAAGTTTAATAAATGCTTACTGCCTGCCTTCTTGCCTGCCTCCTCTGCTAAACATTCCCATTTTCTTAAACTGAGTCTTATATGGCATGTTCTCTGGGCCCCTGACCATTCTGATCATCCCCATTTGTCCACAGTATGGTTTATTGATGACCTTTCTCAAACATGGCACCCCAATTCAGCAGACTGCTACAGACATAACTTGGCAAGGGCAGAGTACAACAGAAAAATCATCTCTCTCACTTGGACATGACCATTCTTTGAGCAATCTAGGATAGGATTAATTTCTTTTAGACTGCTATGTTACATTCACTCTGAGCTTACAATCTTCTAAAAGTTCCAGCTTTGACTCACAAAAACTACTGTTTAGGCCTCCCCATCTTATACTTAGAAAATAGACATGTTTTAGGATCATTAAATGTCATCACTTCATTCATGTTTGCAATTTTACCATAAGTATTTTGAACAGAGTCCTTACCTCCCAGGAGCTGTTAAGCTTTTGTTGGTATAATAGTTAATGCCAGATGGCGCATAATTCCAAATCACTTCTTCAGCAGCAATGTAGTAGTTCTTAACACTTGTCCCATTAACATTATCTTGTGAGCGCTTTCCACAATCATTTATCTTGAAATAGGCCTTCATGCCAGCTGAAAAACAGAACGTTCTGATGGTTCATTTCATTAAGACAACAAAAACATATTTTTAAAAATTTCTCATTTTTTGCTTTTCTTTGCTTTTGAGAAATTTTGGGGACTAGTAGTTTTTTGTTTTTTTTTTTTTTTTGGCTTCTACATGTAAATGTATCAAAAACAACTGGTAGTAAACTTTTTTCTCTCAACTTTTGCCTCAATGATTCCACTACTGGGCATCTATGGTCTCCAAGAAGGTCAATGACAGAGACAAAAGTTTCCTATATAGGAAAATATTTACAGCAGTACTTTTTGTAGTAGCAAAGAACTGGAAATTAGATTAATTTCTTTAGTTAATCAACTTTATCCAAGTTGTAATTTTCAGTTAGATTTTTTAAAAAAGATTCATAATATTGCAACCAGAAGGTAGCTGGAATGGGGGATGGGAGTCAACTTTTAGTCTTGATTATACCACTTATTATAGGCCTTGGAGCAGGTCCCTTTACCTTGTTGAGCTTTGGTTTCCTCATCTGCAAAAGATTAACTCCTCTGTGAGGTCCTTTACCTGCTGCTTCTATTAAGCATCAATGTTTTCTTAAATCAATCCCAGTATGGCACATATTGAAGTTCTGTGATTTTACTGTACGTGAAAGAACCACTTAAAGTTCTGGGAAGATATTGGAGAGGTCATAACGTAACTTATCTTTTCAATCTCCCTATCAAAATCAGAAATAGAAATACCAAAAAGGAAGAAAAACTATCAGAAATCCTCAAATTAAGAATAAAAAAAACCCTCAAAGAAACGAGAGAACAAAAGAGTTTCCAAAATGAAAAATAAAAATGTGTACCCTGAGTTAAGAACTCCCAACTTATGCAGTGTGATTTGAGGTTCCATTTGTACAGAAGTGTCTCTGTCATGAGATATAAATTCCTATTCCTGGTCATTAATGGTTAGACAACAAAGGTAATGGAAAAATATAGTGGGTTAAAAAAAGCTGAGGCAAACATTCCAGAAGAAAAAAAAAAAGAACACTAACAAAAGTAAAATTTTTCCAATATGTAGCAAAATAGATCATAAGTACAACAATGGAATCAAATTAAGAAATTAAACATTTAAATTAAATTAAAGTGGTAGTTATAAAATTATCTGTTACCAGGTAAAACACAAGACATAGAAGGTATTAATTAGAATAGTTCCCAGGATCAATTTTTGGAGTTTAGTACAAGCTGACTACCCTCTATGTGAAGAGGTGTGGACTTCCTGGTCAACTCATCAAATTGATGAGGGAATTCCCTAATCAACTGCTTTTATAAAGAAAAATAGACCAGTAGGATAGATTATATTATAGAGAATTAGAAACAAAGTCATAAAATAAAATATATTTTGATAACACCAAGATTTTTAAAAATTAGAGAAAAGATTTCTTATTCAATACCAATCATTAAGAATATTGTACAGCAACAAGATATACATCTCGCTCATTTTACAATGAATTTAAAAACAATCAGTAATCTAAGTACAAAATTCATTCAAATTTTGAAGAAAAGGGATGCTATGCTTGTTGCAATTGCAGAGATAACAAAAATTAATATCAACTTAAAGGATAAAAGAGAAGGATTTGAGTATATGAAAACAGAGATTCCCCCCCACACACACACAGACACAGCATAATTTAAAACAATGCATATAGAATAAAAATTTTAAAAACAAATTGGGGAGAAAAATTTATCATAAATATTTTTGATAAAAATCTGTTCTAATTTGGTATATATATGCACATGTATAGACACATGTCTACCCTCATATATATCTTATATAACTGATTCAGATTTATGAAAAGAAGATTCATTCTTCAGTAGCTAGGTGATCAAAAGATATGAACAAATTGTTCACTAGGGAAGGGACATGATCAATAACCATTTACAAAATTCTCAAACTCTTTAATCAGATAATCTCAGATTAAAACAACTCTTGAGAACATATCTTTTACCTATTGAATTATTATGGTGGATAAAATAATAAAATGCAATATCTTCCTGAGTGTAGAAAAATAAGCCACTATGTACATTGACAAAGGAGATACAAGTTGGAGTGATCTTTTTGGAAGACAATATTGCATCACACAATGAGCTACAAAACTATTTCACAATGTTCCCTGATTATCCTGCTACCATTATCCCCTCTGGCTGATATTAACAGAGGAAAAAGAAATTATCTGTACAATAGGATAACAGCACAGCATCATTTATAGGAATAAAAAAAATTGATATAATCCGCATGTCCGGTAATTAGAGAATGGCTGAAAAATGAGGCATATGGATGGAATGGAATATTATTGCTTAATAAGAAATGATGAAAAGGAATGCTATGAAGATACATGAGAATATTTACGGGAAAGGATAGATTTAAGACCCCTCCTGGATCATTGCCTCGTTTTGGTGGAGGAACTTGCGTAGTTCAATGAAACTATGAGCTATGCCATGCAGGGTTACCGAAGATGGACGGGTAATAGTGGAGAGTTCTAACAAAAGGTGATCCACTGGAGAAGGAAATGGCAAACCACTCCAATATCTTTGCCAAGAAAATCTCATGGACAGTATTAAGATGATAAAAGAAATGACGTGGGAAGATGTGCCCCTGATATTGGAAGATGTCCAATATGCTACTGGGGAAAACCAGAGGACAGCAACAAGTAGGTCTAATACTAATAAAGCAACTGGGCCAAAGCCAAAAGGAAACTCAGCTGCAGATGTGTTTGGTGACAAAAAGAAAGTCTGAGGCAATAAAGATCAATATTACATAGAAACTTGAAACATAAGAGCTATAAGCTAAAGTAAGCTGGATGTAGTCAAACAGGAAATGGAAAGGTTGAACATTGACATCATGGGTGTCAGTGAACATAAATGGATATAAATGGGTGAATTTAATTCAATTGATAATTAGATATACCACTGTGGGCAAGAATCCATCAGAAGAAATGGGATAGCCCATATAGTCGATAAAAGAGTGAAAAAAGCAGTCCTGGAGTATAATCTCAAAAAGAATTGAATGATATTTGTTTGAATCCAAGACAAACCATTCAACATCGCAGTAGTATGAATCTATGCTCCAACCACTGAGGCTAAAGAGGATAAAGTTGATCAGTTCTATGAAGACCTACAACATCTTCTAGAAATAACATCAAAAAAATGTCACATTTATCATAAGAGATTGGAATGCTAAAGTAGGAAATCAAAAGATTACTGGAATAACAGACAACTTTGACTTTGGAGTAAAAAATAAAGTAGGGAAGAGACTAATAGAGTTTTGTCAAGATAACTAGCAAGTCATAGCAAACACTCTTTCAACAACCCAAAAGGTAGCTCAGACTTGACCAGATGGTCAATATCAAAATCAGTTTGATTATATACTTTGAAGTCAAATGTGGAGAAACTCTTATACAGTCAGTTAAAACAAGACCTGGAGTTGACTGTAACTCAGATCAGGAGCTTCTCATTGCAAAATTCAGACTTAAATTGAAGAAAGTAGGGAAAACCATCAGACCATACAGGTATGACCTAAATAATATCCTTTATGAATATGAAGTAGAAGTGATGAATAGATTTAAGGGATTAGACATGGTAGATAGAGTCTCTGAAGAACTATGGACAGAGGTTCACAATATTATACAGGATGCAGTAATGAAAACATCCCAAAGAAAAAGAAGAGCAAGGCTCCGATTCTTAAAATCTAGCCAGTAGCTCACTAATGTTCAGATTCCTTGAGAGTCTGGCCAATATGGTGGATGTTTTAACAAACCCTGTCTTTGGCAGAAAGAAGGCTGGGGCTGAATTCTTTTGGGCAGGACCCACGTGTTGTGATTTTGGGGTCTCAGCACCCCTAAATCCCTGAACTTCAACATTTTGTTGGCCCATATGGGAAAACTGCCTAACCCCAAGTTTTTCTCCAGCCAAGACTGAAAGTTATGTAAGTCTCCCCTCTTCTTTCTTGCCCTGCAGTTGGGGTCTCTCTCCAAGCACCTAGGAAGGCTTAGAGGTGCTTTTTGGGCAGACAGTCACAAGGCTTTCTCACACTCAGCCTGACACTCTCAGGCTCTCAGTCCACTGGTTCAGTTCAAGGCCATGGACCTGGGTTCACCTTCCGCAGCATAGAGGGTACCCTATCTGGAAGCATATGCCCAATTCTGTCAATTCTCTCAGTGCTAGGGAATTGGGAAAACTGCAGGTGCTTTTTTGTTCTCTGAGGCTTACTTACTCCCTTCCCTCTAAAGTCCTGGATCCTCCTTCATGAAGTCACAGGGAAAAGTTAGAACAGCTAAAAACTTCTTAGCAGATTCTGGAGGTTATTAAGGAGTTTTGAAACACCTCCTTACAACCCTGGCCACTCTCTTCCCTTGGATCAAGAGAGTATCTCTGTTAACCCCTTTTGTAAGAGAAGAGAGTTTTACCCTTCCCCCTCCACCTTCTAATTAGCCCTCTCCCACCTGGGGAAAGGAAGGTGGGGGCAGCAGCTACAGCGGGCCCCCCCCCCAGCAATGGCCTTGAGCCCTAGGGCAACCTTTGCCTGGAAACATCACCCAGAATCAGCACATCCTGCTCAAGGTAAAGAAGCTGGCCTCTGAACTTGGGTAAGCATGCTCTTTTAAAACTGCAGTTTTAACTGTTAATGATGAGATGCTGATTCTCTGTGCAAAGTAATTTAGAAATCTGTTTAACAAAATTGAAGTCACCTGATTGGTAATGGGTTTGTTTCAAGTTCCAAGTTGGTGAACTTTTTGTATCCGTCATGTCAAGCAACTTTTCATAATTTGGTTACTGCTAAAATAATTTGGCTATTGTTTGTTATTGTTTTAATGTGCAAACTTGCCGAAAAGCTTGTTTGGGTTTTGTCTTGCTGAGAATTTGCAAGTACATAGAAATAATTTCTAACAATTGACTTTTTACACCAGGACAAATTTAAATTTGAGATATAAATCCTGGAAAAGTTTTTCCTAAGCTGTGATTAGTGAAACTTGCTGTGTGAGGTAAAAGCTCATAGGATTTTATTTTGAGTTGTCTGATGGATCACAATAATCCATCAATAATCAATAACCCACCATCTGAGAAAAATATCACAAGCTACTCAGACAGAATATGATACTGGTGGGAAGTCAGCATTGGGAAAAGCTGGGAGGACAATTTTAGCCTCAGTCTAAGATGGGATCCTCCTGGCCCAGTTTTCCCATTATGTTGCTTTGAAAAGGAATGTACCAACCTGGCTATTCCTGAGTCTGGCTATGAGGTGGATTTGATACTGCATGTTGGAAAACTGAATTATCTGAATCCAAACAGAGCTAAAGATGTTTTATCCTGTCATATCTGAGCCCTGCAGTCTTTTCTGTCAGGTTTGTGTCTTCCAGACTACAGGCCGTTCACCTACAATTGATAGCAAACAGCGGGTACCAGCCAATGTCTCCCCATTGTTCCCTGGATGCAGCCTGTGCTCGGTCACAGTCAACCCCCTTTGGGACCCCCTCGAGGCACGGACAGCTCTATGACCCTTGCAGCAGGAAGCAGTTTCAGAAGCCAAGACTTTTGCCCCTTACCCCAAAAGAATCTGGGTCCCATTTGTTTGAGGGGGAGGAATGATGGAGTTGGGATCTAGACCTCAGAAAGGGGACATAGGGTCATGAAGAATCGGACATGACTGGACAAAAATAAAAGCAATTATCTAAATAACATTCAAGATAAAAGAATAATGGTGCGATGGCAACTTAACTTGTCCTTGGACATATTCTCTCTGAACTTCATGAAACGGTGAGAAGAATGAGATCATTAGAGGAAACATCAGCAACAAATCCAGAGAAATACCCCTAAAAAGTGATCGGACACATAGAAACAGACAGGGTATTTTTGAAGTCATGCATCTGGGTCCCGATCAGTACAGAGAACAAATCCCACAAAATGGTCAGTTTTAAAAATTCCTGTAGCATTTTTCCATTGACTGGCACAAAGACCTTATTTTATGTAATTATAACTTTGAATTGTGCAAATTAGAATATGTGTGACTACTTCATAGAATTCATTATTCCCAATAATCGGGACCTAGCTGTATGTATGTGTGTATACACACACACACACACACACACACACACGCACGCACACACATATCTGCAACAATAGAAGTTTACAGTTTTCTACGCAATTTTTTAAACCTTTGTGTGAAACTTTGAGTGTTTGTTTTGATTGATATATGTTGATAACTTCTTACCATTCGCGTGCTTGTTAACTTGACAGCTGAGTAACCATTCCCCAACACTTTTTGCCACCATGCGGGCATCAAGCATTGAAGCGGCAAAAATCCTGAAAGTATCCATTCTGTGACGCAGGTAGAGCAAAGTCTGTCCATGAAGAAAGATAGAATGTGTATCATCCAGACCACCTATTCCAAAAAAATGCCAATGCACTCTGTCTTCCACACACATGGTGATGTTTGGCATGTTTCCAAACATGAATCCATTCATTGCTAGGGGGGAAAAACAAACATTCACACATATTATTATGGTAAATATCACAGGAGCCATGACAGAGAGAGAGAGGTAGAGGATGGGAGGGACAGAGGGATGATAGAATATCAAGGGGATGGAATCAGGGCTACACAAAGCAAAACATTCTTAGCTTTCACTGATGTAACCCAGCATGTGCCTAGGTCTCTAGTCTCTGCTCTTCCCAAATTAGGGTTCCAAGAAAAAGTGAGGCCCACAGACATTGAGAAAAAACAAGATGGAAGAGGATAAGGGAAAAGACATAAAGAGGATTAAGAGGACAAAAACACATTGAGAGGTGGGTGAAAAAAATATGAAGGATGGGTTGGGGAGAGGAAAGCAAGAAAGGAAAGAAAGAGAAGGAAAAAAAGGGGAAGAGAAAAAGGAATTGAAGGGTTCCCAGGAGAGAGGTGATTAAGAGGTTCAGAGAAAAAACTCTCCAGTAAGATATTTGGGGGAGGCTTAATTTTGGTGAAATGCTTCAGTCACATTAGAATATACTGCATTTTTCCTCACATATTTTGATAACTCAAAGTCAAGATTTTTGGATTTGATCTTGGAAGTGTTCTTAGAGCAGGGATGTGCTAGTGAATTTTTTTTTTTTTTTAGGCAATTGGGGTTAAGTGACTTGCCCAGGGTCACACAGCTAGTAAGTGTCAAGTATTTGGTCTGAGGCCGAATTTGAACTCAGGTCCTCCTGTCGCCAGGGCCAGTGCTCTATCCACTAGGCCACCTAGCTGCCCCTTAATAGTTGTTTTTTTAATTGAATTATGCAGTCAAAGGGAAGTTGGTAATTGAAGTTACCAAACCAACAAACAATGAAAATCCTTCCTTCTCTCACACTTTACCTGGAGAATCCTTTCTAATTCATTTAAGTTCTTGGGGACCTGGTTTCCTCACCTATAAAACGGATTGGACAAGATGACCCTCTGAGTTCCCTCCTAGTTCTAAATCTATGATCCTATGAAAACTTTGCTCCTTTCTAATGTAACCCAAACCAGTTGGTATTGGTATTGGACTCTCTGCACATTAGCAGAGATCATTGGTGTTGGAGAGAACAGGAGAGAAGAGAGGAACAGTCCTTTGGGCTCTTCTGGCATCTGATTTGAGAGAGCAGAGGGGTGATGCCAACATCACTTCACTTACAATACATTTTGTTGCTCTCCTTGAAGCCTGGATCAGTTTTATTAACCTTGTCAGGTTCATAACAATAGGTATGGATGTTTTCATCCAGATACCAACTCTTGTTTTCATCTACTGCATAAAACAATACAACAAATGAGCGATCAGTATTTTTTTCAGTGTCTCCATTCAGGCTCCCTGCAATAAAAAAAATAAATTATTTAGTTTTCATGTGGGATGTTTAGCATTAATATAATGTAGTTCCCTATTTTTTATTAATTAAAAAATAATTTTTAATTGTATTTCTGGCAAATTGAAAAGTGCAGTGTGAAGTTTGGGAATGCCAGGATTATATAAACCTTGTAAGTAAAAATGATATTAAATTGACAGCTTTTATGATATTACAGATTATTTTCTTTTTAAAGCAACCTACATGTCATTGATTGTATTTTTATCATTTGAGATTTTAAGAGAATGTTTTACCTTTCCTACAAGTTATCAGGGGTCCCACGAGCCCAGAGGCTACATCCTTCGCAGTATCGAAGTGTGAGTGGTAAATTCTGGTGACACAATTATGGTCCCCATCTGCAGGCCCTTGCTCTGGTGTTATGGACCACCTGTAAGTGCAGTTCTGTCCAGGTGACACTCCATCGTCTTTCTTCTGTGGCCCATAGGTATTGTCAGGATACAGAGCACCTAGGAAACATCCAAGGCACGGCATTCATTGAAACCCTCATTTGAAGGAGAGTCAAATTTTCTCTATTGAGCCTTGACAGATAGAGATTTAGACTTACTGAGGAAAAGTAACTTTTATGATTTATTTTCTTTCCAAGATTGCTCTGAAGCACTCTGAGCTGGAAGGCTATTTAGTTCAGTTTTCTTATTTTATAAAGGAAGAGAGGGAGACCAAGAGAGATGGTGTCACAGAGATGGCAAAGGTCACACAATTAATGAACAGGCATTTATAAAGTTCCTACTGTGTGGAGCGTGGTGCTAGGTGCTGGGAATATAAAACCAAAACTTTAACAGTCTTCACTCTTAGAAAGCTTACATTCTCTTAGGGGAAACAACATGCACATATTTAAGCAAGAACAAAATATACCCAAAATAAATACAAAATACCGTATTTTTGTGTGGGTAGAGACATTAGGTGGTGTGGTAGCGGTGGTGGTAGAGATAAAGAATGGCCTCATGCAGGAGGTGGTGGTTGAACTGAGGGGGGCATTCTAAGAGGAGAAGGTAATTAGACTGATACATTTCACTGCGTTATCTCCACCTTCACTTTGGCCTTAGATGAAGTAGTAGCACTTCTCGCCAAGGCATACCCATGGATCCTTGATCCAAACCCTTCTCTACTCCTCCAGCAAAATGACCCTACTATCATCCTCTCTCTCTCTCTCTCTCTCTTTCTCTCTCTCTCTCTCTCTCTCTCACACAATCTCTTCAATATGGATTCCAGCCTCATCATCCAACTGAAATCATCTTCCCCAAAGTTACCGATAAAGTCTTAATCGCCAATTCTAATGACCTTTTCTCAATTCTGTTTCTCTTTGACCACACTGCAGCATCTGATATTATTGACCATCTTCCTTTTCTGCAGACTTAAAGCACCATGGCCTAAAAGGAGAAGGGAGGGAAAAAACAAACAAACCAAGAGTCCCTGCTCTCAAAGACCGCATTAGACATTAGATATGTGAGGTTGTGTAAACAACCACACACATACAACATCTAGAGAGAGCAGATGGAACACAATCTGAAAGGGGAAGGCATTAGCAAGGAAGGGGATTGGGAAAGGTTTTCTACAGAAGGTGAGATTTGAACTGATTTTTGAACGGAGCTAGGGAAACTAAAGTGTAGAGTTGAGGGGAAAGAGCATTTCGGGCTTGAGGGTCAGCACGTGCAAAGGCATGATGATGGGATGTGGGGGTGGTCGTATTTGAAGAGCTGCAAACAGGTCAGTTTAGCTGCATCCTGGGGTTGGGGGTAGGGGTCCAAAATATAAGGAGCCCTCTCCCCCATGGTTCCACCTTTACTGCTTGCTAGCCATGTGACCATGGATAGGCCACTTAACTCTTTGGTGCCTCAGGAGAATTCCTAAGTGTTATCTGCAGAATCGTGGAGGGTCTGGTGAAGGGAGTTCCCATGGCTGGCGTCTTCTAGAACTACATCAGCATAATAAAAGCTGACATTTGTGTTATAAATGTAATTGCAAGTAATATCAATAAAGCTGACAGCTAAGACCTCCAAGGTTCTTTTTTTTGCATTCTCGTTTGATCCTCACAACAGTCATGTGAGGTAGATAGTTCAAGTAGCAATATCCCCATCTTACAGTTGAGGAAACTGAGCCTCAGAGAAGATCAATGACTTATCCAAGGTCACACAGCTAAGAAGCAGTCTCCTGACTCCTAGCCCAGTGCTGTCCCAATATATCATAGTACCTCTTATGCTACCCTTGTCTTTTAGGGCAGATGTTTCCAAAGAACATCAATCGTATCATCTTTCCTTCACAACTCAAAGAGTCCTGGACTTTAAGGCAGAGGACCTTGGTTAAAATTCTATTTCTGCCACTTAAAACCCGAGTGCAGCAAATCTATCCACTCTCCAGCCTTTCCTCTATATTGCTGCTCAGATTATATGCCTCCAGTCCGTACTTGACCACGCCACTTCCTTGCTCAGATAGCTCCCATCACTCCCTATTACCTTCCCCCCCCCCCCACTTTTCTTCCCTTGCTGCACAAAGACTTATTCGTTTGCTTTGCTTCCCTCTTCTTTCATTCTGGTCTGGTCTGCCAAGTCTAGCCATAAAAGTCTAAAGAAGCAACAAAACAGGAAAATGTTGCTGGTTTTTGCATTCACCTAAACTCTTTTAGGGTATCTTTTTAAGAAGAAAAGATCACTCTTAGTAAGACTAAGACTATTTGTGACTGAGACCTCACAGATCCCTCCCTTCTCCTTTTAGGCCATGGTGCTTTTCTACAGGTGTTAATAATCTCACGTTTGTCATTACATGTAAGATAAGAAATTGAAATTGAAGCATCTGGAAGGCAAACATCAAAGGTCTCTAAAGAAAAGGTGAATTCCTAATTATGGCTAATCTATAACCACCTTTCCTCAGCATTATGTTTAGTGTTGTCTATAAATACTGAGTACAATTTGATTGAAACATTAATTTTTGCTAAACTTACTAAATCACGTCATAAATTTGCAGAATACTATCAACATTCCTTAGTCATTCAATAGCTAAACATATGCTCTCCTTTAAAATAAAATAGTGGTTGGAAAGGGAACTATTTTCACAGCTTTTAGTATATTGAAACAATTGTAATTTTTTTCTAATTATATTCAGTTTTGGCAGGGAATTGACTGTACCTTCATTTTCCTTAGTATAAGTCGCTCCGTGGGGATGCATAGTGTAGCGTCTTGAGGCAAAGTTTTTCATATGCACAACGATTACATCTCCAACCTCTCCCTTCAGAATAGGACCCAAAAATCCCAGCCAGGATGGCTTTTCCACACACCTTTGATAACTTTCATCCGTGTACTGAACATACATGGCTTTCTTATATATTCGACCTATCCTCTGAGGGCCTCTTTCTAGATAGATATACGAACGAAATTCACTGTGGAGACAAAAAGACAACACTGTAACAGATTTTGACTGGAAAGAAAATGTTCAAATTGGTTGAAATAGGAAGTCAGGAGATATATAGCTTAAATGAGACCTAAATGGCCAAAGGAAGGAGATTTATAGTTGAAATGGCAAAATGCCAAACCTGGAAAGAATAAGATGAAATGAAATGGGAGAAAAGAAGAACATAGAGAGTAGGGATCCCAGATAGCATTTTTGTTATGAGGCATAACGTAATTAATTCGTGTAGCATCTTAGTGGTAAAGCCCTCCCCTGAGCTTTGTACTAAACCATGTCACCAAATTGTAAAAGCACTTTCAGAATTCTTTAGCCATGTGATGAATTATTATGGGTCATAGATTTAGAGCTGGAAGGGACCCAATAGGCTGTGGAAGGGGACCCAAATAGGATTTGATCCCATATCTTTCTGACTCCATATTTTCAGTGCCTCCATATTCAGTGACTCCATATTCAGTGGTAGACATTAGCCCACGTCTGTATGAGCAAATGGAATTAGTTGCAAATGGAATTATTAATTAATTAGAGAATTTGGGCCATCTAGACCCATAATTTGAATACATTAGAGCCCTTCTCCAAATATCTCCTCATTCTCTTGCTGAATCATCTGGAAAGATGAAAGAGAATAGCACAAGTCCTATTATTCAGATTTTCCCATGTATATGAGAAAAAGAATTGCTTTTCAAAAATTGCATACCAACAACATGTGTTATTACACAGAATTTCTGTTTAGAGGGTTTACAGCTTAAGCATCTGGGTAGATATAACTGTACCATACAAAGCAGGGCTTCTTAACCTTTCCTGTATCATGGACCCTTTTGGCAGTCAGTAAAGGTGATAGACCCCTCCTCAAAATAATATACAGGGTATCCTCAAAGTCATAGTTCAGTTTTAGGCTTTAAAAAAGCTTAACGCTTTTAGCTTTAAGGAGAAACTGAGGTCCAGTGAGGGAAAGTGATTTGTCCATAGTCATACAGGTAATAAGTTGTCATAGGCAGAATTTGAATCCAGGTTCTCTGAATCTAGAGCCAGCGCTCTTTCCACTGCACTAGGATACCTAAGGAAATGAAATCGGAGGGGCAGCTAGGTGGCACAGTGCATAAAACACTGGCCCTGGAATCAGGAGGACCTGAGTTCAAATCTGACCTCAGATACTTGACACTTACTAGCTGTGTGACTTTGGGTAAGTCACTTAACTCCATTGCCTAGCCGAAAAAAAAAAATGAAATCAGAAAGGCTCTTGCATGTTAAATGTGCTATGTATAGGTACATATTCATATGTAGGCACACAGCCTATGTATACATATGCATGCATATATAACATATATATGTCCCTTCCTGACAATGAATTTGTTCTTAAAGAGCCATTCCAACAAAAGTCATTATCAGCATATTATCCATAATAATTAACTACCAGCCCATCCTGTGGATGCTAACATTTTCAAGGAAAGTTGAACATTACTTACTTATCTTCTGAAATTAATTTTCTATTGATTATGTTTTTACCAGTTGGAGCATAGTTCCATGTCCATTCCCTAATGCCAATGTAATAATGTCTTTCTCTTGCCCAGCCTGGAGAATTGGCAAAAATCAGAAAAAAGGTGAACGGCAAAAGTCTCGTCATTTTCCAGCCTGGAGCCTTGACAAGCAAAACTGATGGAGGCCTACTCACCTTCCTTTTATAAGTCAGAACTTCTTTGCTTTCTTGGGGTTCATTTACATAAAGTCAAGTTACATAAGAGCAGCTCTTCCTTCTTCATCCACACAGATGCAAATCTCATTCAGTTTTATTTAGTACTTGTTGGCCAAATGGAATGTTGTATAATCCAACTGGAACGTTGCACGATTATCCACTCACGATAGCCAGTTCATGATCCAACCATTCTGGAGAGCAATTTGGAACTATGCCCAAAGGGCAAACAAACTGTACATACCCTTTGATCCAGCAATACCACTGCTAGGTCTATGTCCCAAAGACATAAAAAAAGGGGGGGGGAAGAAAGGACCTATTTGTATAAAAATATTAATAGCAAGGGTGGCTAGGTGGTACAGTGGTTAGACCACTGGCCCTGGAGTCAGGAGGACCTGAGTTCAAATCCGATCTTGACACTTGACACTTACTAGCTGTGTGATCCTAGGCAAGTCATTTCACTTCGATTGCCTTGCCAAAAAAAAAAAAAAAAAGCTCACACTTTAATTGAAGCAAACAACACATTCTTAGGTGGCATCATCAGGTCAATGGAAGATGTACCAGCAGCAATAGGGAAGATGGTATAGTGCGGTGGAGGACCTTAGGATGCACTTACAGGGCAGATGGCAAGGCCTGGTGATCCTCCATCTTGTTAGAATGGTGCAACTGACTCCCTGTTCGTCCTAATGGTATGAACAGCCATATTGCTCTTCCTACATGGCTACACTAATGGGATTGGGTGGTCCAGACTGGAGGAGGAGGGAAAGGTAAGAAGGAAAAGTAGCCCTGCTGGTGACTATTCCTACCCCATTTCCCCATTTAGGGCAGGGGAAATGGTTGAGGGAGAAAGTAAAAGGAAAGAGAAATGTGGCTTTTCCTACCTGGACACCTTGAATAGCCTTACAATCTCATTACTCTCTTATACTAGTCTCTACAGCAGTGAGACAAATTCCTTCATTGTCAAACTGACCGCTGCACCTCCCTGCCTTCAAACCTTTACTGAAACTATATTCCTAGCTAGTGATATATTCTCGTCTCCTCTCAATCTATTACAATTCCATCCATCCTTCAAATCCAAGGCTAAATCCCAGTTCACTGGTGAAGGCTTCACTGATTTTTTTAGACTCCCTTCCTACAGCACCATTGCCTATCACTCTTTGGCCACTCTAATGCTTTCAGGATCTGTGATTTAAGCCATAGCGGGGGGGCATACCTCACTACAGAAAGATGCAGATCACTACCCTTTCTAACCCCTTAGTGGAAGGTTTAATGAAGTACTGCAATTCCCCCCAACCCCATCAGCCCCCATTAGAATAGGAGCTCCTTGAGGGTAGGAACTCATTTTTTGAATCCCTAGCATTTAACACGGGGTGTGGCACAAAATAAGTGCTCAATAAATGCTAATTGATAATAATAATAATAATAATAATAGCTACAACTTATATAGTGCTTTAAGGTTTGCAAAAACACTTTACAGACATGGCAATATTATGGTCTTCAGGCTGGAGTACAAAGGCTTTCTCCAGAGAAAGCTTAATGATCACAGAATTCCAGAGTCCTAAAGAGATTTCAGGGGCCATCTCTTATAAATTCTTCATTTGAATAATAAAAAATGATTGTTTAAGTGATGCTTTAAAGCTAGAAAAAATACTTTGCATATACTTGGAACTGAGGCCCAGAGAATTTAAGCTACTTGACCAAAGTGAAAAAGGTAGAGTCAGGATTTAATCCCTGGGCTTTCTGCCTCCAAATCCAGTACTCATATGACTACGTGTCAAATCCATATCCCTTTCTGTGAAGTTTGGATTCGGTCAAAGGGCCGCACTAGAGGCCACATGTGTCCTCGAGGTCACAGGTTCACCACCCCTGGACCTATCAATTAAGTGATTAGTGAACATCACAGTATTTAGCTGTCCTGGCTGTGGTTTATGCCTGGGAGGTTAGGAAATGATTTGTATCTTCCCTTTAAGGCAGAGTGATAGACAACTCTGGTTTTGGAGTCAGAAGAATTGAGTTCAAATATTGCTTTTGTTATTTATCACCAGTGTGACTGTGTGTGCTTCTTAAACTCTCTGGGCTTCAGTTTCCTCATCTGTAAAACAAGATGGCCTCTAACGTCCCTTCCAGCTCTAAATCCATGAACCTTTGATCCTCCTAGTGTCATACGGTTCAGGATGAGTATGTGGCCAATAAAAAACACTTTCTAACTGCCAGACATATATATATTAAGAGAGTAGCAGACATGATGACTTGTAATCTTAAATAACCACAGAGGCTAACTCAGCCTTGAAAGATCTCAGGACTTTTCAAAATAATTCCTGGCAATCAGTTCCATTTTTGTTCACCTCACCGGCTGTTTAGACAAATCAGCTGGTGCTTTGGCAAGACATTCTTTCTTTGAACACCTCTCAATATTGTCCCAAGGAATATGAATATGGAAGTAATGTTTTTTTGCCACTCTGTTTCCTGCTTCCTGGATAACAAGACTCCATTCAGTCTTTTAGGCCATCGCTACATCATTTGCTTATGAGTAAATTTCCTTGATGTCTAGCTTGAGGATATAGTAGTATTTACCTGGGCCCACCTCACTTTTCTGAACTCTGAAAAATCAAAGAAAAATGAAGGGCAAAGATTCCTATAATTTCATCATTACGAATTACTAACCAACACACTGATTACTCATGAATGTAATTACTAATCAACATAAATATTCAATATTTGTGTTTCTAGCTCACCACACACAATACTTAATTATTATTATTATTATCAATAGTAGGAGCTGCTTTTTCTCTAGCATTTTATAGCTTGCAAAGTATTCTCCTTGTGAAAACCCTTACAAGTGACATTTGTATTTTATAGATGAGGAAACTGAGGCTCAGAGACTACATGACTGACTCTGGTCACACACGTAGATAGGAATCTAGATATTTTAAATGGAAGACCTTTACTATACTGCCTTCCTATAATATAGAACAAAATGGACCTTTGCTTACTGAAAGTATGGTTTAAAAGGCAAGATAGACTGATACAAAGGGCTATTACAACAGCCTTTTGGTTGATTTCCTTTCCTTAAGTTTCTCCTTGCTCTGGTCCATCTGCCATTCAAATTGATTTTCCTTCAAACTGATTGAGCAGTTCTGACCATGTCACACCCCCTACTCAATAAATTCCACTGACTCCCTATCACCTCCAGTGTCAAATAGAAAGTCCCCTGATTGGTGTTCAAAGCCCTTAATAATCGGGTCCCTTCCTGCCTTTCCATTCTTCTCACACTTTCCTCCCTTCCACTTACTCTATGATCCAGGGACCCTGGCCTCCTGGCTGTTCCACACATAAGACTCTCCATCTCTCAACTCCAGGCATATTCTCTATTGCCCGTGCTTGGAATTCTTTCCCACCTCATCTTGCCTCCTGGTTCCCCTGCTTTCTTCAAGTCTCAGCTAAAATCCCACCCTGTGGAAGAAGCCCTTCCTTTGAGCCCTTCCCCTCTCGAGGCCAGGGCTCTCCCTTTGTTGATTATCTCTAATTTATTGTGTATACATCTTGTCTATAAGTACTTGTTTACACATTGTCTCTCCTTGGGAGTAGAGACTGGGTTTTTTTTCTTTCTTTCTTTGTATCTGGAGTCCTCAGCACGCTGCCTAGTACAAATACTTCTCGACTTGAAATGTACTGTAGAAAGTATTGAATTTGGAGTCAGAAGTGAGTGCAATGGAAAGAGCGTTGGTGTCAGAAGCCCGATGTTCAGATCTTTCCTTTGAATTTTAGGCAGCTAAGTGGTGCAGTGGATATAGCTTTGGGCCTGAAGTTAGAATGGGCCTGAGTTCAAATCCTCCCTCAGATGCTAACTAGCCATGTGACTGTATGACCCTGAGCAAGTCATTTAACCTTCATCTACCACAGCTTCCTACTCTGTGAAACAGGGATAATAACAGCACCTACTTCACAAGGTTGTTGTGAGGATCAAATAAAATATTTGTAAAGCGCTTAGCATAGGGGTTAGCATGTAGTAAATGCTTAGTAAATGTGAATTCTTTCCCCCTTCCTTCTTATTTCTTCTGTGACTTTGGGCAAGTTTTTAAGTGACCCATTACTCTCTCTGAGCCTCAATTTCCTCATCTGTCAAATCAAATTTTTCTTCCTATATTAAATTTTTTCTTGAAAACACTTCACATTATGAATGAATGAACGGAAAACACTTACTATGTGCCAAGCACTGGACATACAGATAGAAAAGTGTTATGGTACTTATTTTCAAGAAGCTTTCATTTAAATAGAGGGAGACAACGTACCAGCGGAGTTTGGCTGTAGGACAGATGGAAAAGTCCAGTGGTTTTAGTGTATAGCAGCTGAGCACATGGTTTCCCACATGTTCTTTGGTATTATTTCCACAAACATAACCATATCACTTCTGATGTTAAATGGTGCCACTGACTTTAATGGTGAAAACTTTCTTTTCTGGGTCTTCAAGAGCTGTGACTGCTTGGGGGATTGGACTGGGAGGTTGGGGTGGTTCTGTAACATCCACAGAGGCAGATGCTATGTGAGGTCTCTATATATTTAGAGAACTTTTCAATTTCCTGAGGTCAATGCCCCCTTTCCTCCTGTTTAATTTTTGGCCCATTTGTAGTGCCTGTCCTAAATATACACACTAATGGGACAACAGGCATTCTTTAGCCTCTTGGACTTTTTTTTTTCAATTAACAAAAGTTTACTTTTTTCTCCATCCCATTCTCCCTCAAAAATATTGGGAAAAAGAAAAACAAATACCTTATAACAAATCTGTATAATCAAGGAAAACAAACTCCCAAAATTGCCTATGGTCCTAAAAAAATGTTTCATTCTCCAATCTGAGTCCATAACCTCTCCACCCAGAGGCGGATACAGACATGCTTCATATTTATGCCTCTGCAGTCATGTTGACTCTTGTCACGGCTCAGAGT